GGGGGGGGTGAGAGATAAAGGTGATGGGCGTCATTGGTAGCTGGGAGAAGTGATGTGGGCCTATACAATTGGGAAGATGAGTTAGGGGACAAAAGCCCGGTTCCACCTGCCTGCGGGGATTCGGAGTCAGGCTAGTCGCAGAAGAGAACCAGCAAAAAAGAAGGTTCAACTTCTCCGATTGAGCAGCATTCACGAGAAGCAAGGAAAGTTGGCAAGGCATAATGTGACACAAGTCCTGAAAATATTTCATGCAGTGATAATCACTTCAGCAGGATATAAGTGCACACAACCATACACACCTATACAAAGACATACGCAGAAGGGTGTTTAGAATGAGAAAGATTAAGATGGTACTTTTACTCTCCGGGCAAGTGGAGAAGTTGGCTATGGAAAGAGCAATTATCAGTTTAGGGGCCGAAAACACGTAGAATTTAGTTCATGCTGAAAGTTCCGGTCGCTAAAGGTGGTCTAAGCACTGATAGAGGAATACATTAGTTCTATTCTGACCCGAATTTCCATTCTGTAGAAACTCTTGGTTGGAAGGAATTCGTGAATTGGTCGCACCAGAAACAGAAGGAGAATTGTCACGTTGTAAAGAAATCATCGGCTCGTCGTTCTGCGACTCAGATGAATTGTGTTAATATTTTGTCTGCCCCACCGTAAAATGTATCGCCAAAGCGAAAAAGCATACTTTACAAAAAAAACATACCAATATACTGAACCAAAAGAAAAGGTGGCCGGCTGCAAACCCACTAAGTTCCTATATACAATTTTGCAATCTAACTGACGAATCCCATGATTTGGTTCGCCATTTTTTGTAAAGGAAGTAGATACGGTGGTAACTGTCTTTTTATGTAAATAAATATCTAATTTTAACTCGTGTTTGAGCATACAATGTTTGAGTTCTTCGGTTTTCCGTGAGGCAAATTCATGAATTTCTTGCGACCGACATGTTCTTCGAACTAGTGGATGTAAAGATTAAGATGATGTGGCCTTTAGTATGGTCGAGTTCTTCTTTAGTTGTTTAGAAGTAGTTGTGATCTTATCCGGAGTCCTTTGTCACCCTTACCATAATCATTTCCAGCCTCAGACCTTGGAAGCGGTACATTCTCGGACATTTCTTCGGCATCGTTGTCGACATCTATTTGACGAGTTGTGTTGCGGTGGCAAAAAATGATGAGGCTCACTGAGGATGGCGATCACGATACTCGTGGGACTGTGCCAATTCTACGATCAGATAATGGGAATTATCATGGATACTATGGAAGAGGACTCGTGACAAGGTGACTTCTCTCTGGCACTACCACCAAATTGTGGGAAAAAAGTCACACCATTTGGTATCCTTCAACATTTTTCTAGCTGTAAATGAATCTCAAAATACCTTTGGAATAAGTAAGTCAATATGAAATAAAGTTGATTCTCAAGGAAGCTCTTTGTTTGCAATTGTTTATTTCATTTCCACTTCCAGTGAAAGTGGTTGGTGATGCGATTCAAAAGTCTGTCCTCCCAGAAGACGACGGCGTTTATGAAAAAGAAAAAGTGCAGGAATACATCCCTTTTGAACTCCGCTCTTGATTGCATAAGCCAATAACAATGTTTCTTGGTCATCACAGATGAGCCTACAAATTGGATCTTATAATTTAACCAGACAAATTAAGGCATGTCTTCTTATGAATTACGGCATGGCAACCGTGTTTTATGGAATTTAGTGACTTAATAATGATTGCTTTCACTAAACCTGTTGGCCATCTAAGGTTGTCTAAGGTTTATTGTAATTCATCATTAGCTTGGACTTGTTATAAAAAGGCTAATGTACTTTCTGTACTCAAAATATGTATTCCTAATAAGTAAGCTAGAAATTTTTGCGATTTTTGTGGATTCATTCAGAGAAACTAAATCAGCATACTCAGGCGTATAAGCTGATTGACTCGCATCAAATAGGAGTGTAACAAGAGCAATTGGAAGGAAGGTTGGGTTTCGGGTAATCTCTTTGTGGATAATTATTGAGCTCACTACCATTTCAAGTAAAAGTGATTGGTGAAGAGATTTCATGGTTGATCCCACCAGAAGACGATGGCAGATTATTTTTGACCGACTTTCAAGAAAGCATCGGTTCGGGAATATTCAGGCTGATGCTTTTTCCGAGGC